CTGATGTGGGTTCCTAAAAATGATTAAGAAGCACCCCAGCACAAAAATAAAACCTGTTAGGTTCTGTCCAAATTACTGCTGGGATTAGCCTATGTGTAATGATCACTTCTGAAGTCTGGAATAATATCAAGGAAAGAAGACTCACATAATCTTAAATATTTGTGATATCCAGCTTGTTCTAAATGTTTGCACCTTCTGCTTCACTTCTCAGAACAGTGTTTCTTAATTTTCTACTAGCAGGAGGGTTTCACCAAGAAGATAGCAGCAATACTTAGCACTTCAATAGCACTTTTCACTTTCAAAATGTTGTACAGATATTAAACATTTTTCCCAAACTCATGCAAAAACTGGGAATTGAGGAAAAAAATTTAAAGGTGTTAATGGAAATTTGGTGCATTTACTTTAGGCCTTTGATAATCATGACCGCTCCTATTGCTATTTTTCTAATAAGGGAACTAAGATGGCCAAATCATGATTTCACCGCATCTGTTTAGTTAGTTTGTAGCAAGCTCTGTTCCCTATTTCAGTGTTTTCTCCACATCTCACAGTAATCACTGGGGTTACTATATCTGTAACCTCAAAATGTGTTATCTATCCTGCGTAACCCAGGGTCCTGTTTGTGAAATGCGCTGCCTAGAAGATACTGAACAGGAATTTTTCTGATGCTGATGTGATCGTGACATTGGTGACAGCTCTAAAATGAAAGTTAAATAATTTAAACTGATTTCCTTTGTTATTAAAAATTGACTATCCCAGTTCAAAAGTAGACTTAATCAGCTGACTGGAAAAAGAGCCCTTACTGCCATAGAGAAAGCCTTGTAGAGCTCTTCGTTCTGTCCTATATGCTCCAAAAAGGGCTGGACAGTGAATGCAAGCAGCTAACTGAGGATATAAAACACCTGAAAGAAGAACAACTGCTCTTTAAGATGCGATTTTATCAGTTGTGAAGAAAAAAAAGGAGAAGCTGTTAGTATCCAAGCCTGTCAGATAAGCACCATTAGAAAACTGTAAGGTTATTGAGATTATTATTCTTTAAGATTGCAGTAAAAGACACTAAAAATGAGTTACAGCTCAGTGCCTTGAAGAACTGCCTGAGCAACCCATGAATAAGCAGACTCAGCCATATGAAAACATATAGTCATGTTAGCAAGTTCAGCAAGCTCTTTAGCTCTGCTGAGCAGGCTCTCCAGTATCTGCACTATGTGTGCTTGTATTGTGTGGAGATACCTCTAACTCGTCAGAGAGAGAGGCGCTGTGACATGTCTTCACGGATTAAATCCTCTGGCTGGTTTGAATAACACTTCTTTGCTGTTTCTTTTAGACATCTAATTTTGGAACAGTACTTGTCTGGGGGGGTCATGGCAGTCAGGTCCTGATGGTGCTTGTCCTTCTGTAACTGAAAGGAAAATATAGTGCTCATCTCTCAGAGAGGGGTGATGGGTGCTCTGTACGAGGGTGGGTCTCTTGCTAGACTGGGTTGCTTATGTCCTCTCCTCAACACATAATATTCTGCAAAGATCCTACTACATTTTAGCCTTTCCTCTGATACTCCCCATGGCATGGCAGAACCTATCTAAGGTATCTAACATATCTTAGTATGTTGTCTGGGTAAAGAAGCTTGCAAAGATCAAATAGACTTTGCTGAGAGCTGAACTTGACACTCTGATGAAAGTTTCAGTGCTTGCAGGATGTAGTGTGGTATCTTGTAAAACTGTGCTGTCAGTGTCCAAAACCATGAAAGAGCAAAGCAAAAAAGTTCATCTTTTTCTGTCTGCCCTGCCCAGTTCCTGTACCAAATGAGAGGTCTGGCCACATTCATTTTGTATCACTTTGGTTGACACTCAACAGATGCAGATGTGTTATTTTTATATACATCTGCAAGACTGAGCACAAACAGGAGTGGGTGCTGTGCAGCAGGTAGAAAATTAGAAATGACATGTCAGCCTCTTACATAAGTAAAACTTGAGCTTGCAATTGGACATGTAGAGATCCAAATTGTACTTACAGCCTGAGAGCTGAAAGGAGGAGGTGAGGATGAGTGTGCCTAGGTCTCTCTATTGCCCAAGGTAGTCATGTTAACATCTACATGCATACAATGCCACATAGAGTGAAGATTTCCATTTGTTTTATAGCTGGGCCAACTGCCAACTTGCGAAAGTATGTTTTACAAAGCCAGCAATGTTATCAAAGTTGTAAGCTTAAATACGGTTACGCTATCAACTTAAACCTGGCTCTTAATTTGAAATGTTTAGGAAAGAGCACTGAAGTCAGCTCTCATATCATTTTCATTTACTAATGGAGTAATCAACATCTGTAGAGCATGCAGCCACAAAATCTTTCACTCAATGAAAAGCGTGCTCAAAAATTCTCTTGTCTGAGATCTATAATCTCATTTTAATTAGCATTGCACATGATTACTCCAATCAAAGAAAGTCAGTGGCAAACATTGCCATCTGCATTCATCGTTAACATCAGCAAGCACGATGGCAGTCACTGATTTTAAGTTAATACGTGGGCTCCGAGGTGCAAATGTCTGTTCAAGGACAGAGAACACTGCCCTACTTTCTTTCTACTACTTCGCTTTTGAAACACACCCTTCATCTTAGAACTTGCCAAATATGGAGCATTTCCAGTTTGGTGTGTGTTTTACATCTGGGATGTGACAGTCTTGTGTATTCTCTGCAACAGAAGATACTGTCATTTGTTTTGAGTAATTTAATTATGCGTGGATTCAGGATTGTATCATATCTGCCCAGTATTCAGCATGGTTGCCAACTGTGTGCTCAGGGGTTTGAGATGTTGATGGGCTTCCATGGCAAGGTACACAATTATTCGGTGAATTTTTAAGACAATGAATGTTCAATACAGTGATAAAACTCAGACCACTGCACGCTGATAAGGGCAATACCAACAGCACGATATGTTGTATGCCTGTTTGTGTGTGCACTGCCATTTCTCCAGAGATCAGGTGTCATTAACTGGTTAAGAAGAGGTGACTGATGATACTTAGCTTGCTTCTGGATTTGTATGCTGCTTCACCATATGTCCTCACAGAAAGCCTTATTTGAGAAGGCAGCAGATGACCTGCTACTGATAAGAATCCTTTATGAATGTAAATTTTTACTAAGATATAGCCAAGTTCTTAAAGGATTTCCACTACTAAGCCATTAAAATTTTTCAAAGGTTACATGTAGTCCAAGAACATTTACCAAGAAAGGCACAAGCATATCTAAGCTCATAGATTATATAAAATTCAGCAGGATTATTTATTGTCTTCATCCTCAGAGAAGGGAATTATCTGGGGTTTTCTGAAGAAGTTAGTACATGACTGTAAACTCTTTAAGAGAAGACATAGTCCAAATACCTTTTTTTGTCATCGTGAACCGGACCTTTCATGCAGAATGAGTGCTCATGAGAGCTTTTAAATTATTTTGGTTGCATAGTTACAACTCTGATAACTTTTTTTTTTAAGTTCTCCTCATTATGAGAGGTAGCCTTGAGTGTTTTAAATCTACCCATAAAGCTGCTATAATCATTCTCTGCAATTACACTACAATGCACAACAATTAATTATATCAAATCCTTCTCACAGAAGTGTTTACCAGTGAAGAGATTGCCACAGCTTTATTTCTGACAATAAAAGGGTAGGAATTACTATACACCTCTGGGGATTTTACTGATCTAACATTTCTGTAGTCAGGATTATAATCATATTATTTTCCCTATAGGAAATAAACATAAGTTCTTGACAGGCATGATCTTTAAACAATATTTTACACGGGAAAAATATTCCCATGTATTTTTTCCTGTAAGAAACCAAGATCTGGATTTTTAGCTAGGTAACTCCAATGGGCAACCTGCACTCATGTACAGCCTTGCTGGGATTCATGTGCAGGGTCTTCCCCTTAGAAACTGAAGTATGTCTACCCTGAAGACTGCTGGTGTAGGTGCCAGGCATAGGACTGGACGAGGCTGAGAATTGGTATTACTGTAGCTTGGTAATACAGAGCTCAGGGCAGGCTGAAGTTCTTTCCCAGAATCTGGGTTGAATACTTAGGCAGTAAGTTCAGGCTGAACTATGCCCAGCCACAGTTTGATAGCCAGGTAGCTTAAAGCTAGCTCTCAGTTTGTGCTTATGGAGTCCCGAGACTTATATATATGTCCTATATTAATATACATGTCCTATACGTGGGACTTTTTTGTACAGGCATACCCAAGGTAGAGGTCTACTTCAAACTGGTGGAAAACGTCTTCAACATCAAAGGAAATAGCTAGGGCTCCTTGAGCAGGTGCTGCAGCACAGGGGGACTGGACGTGGACAGCGAAAGCAGTGGTGCTGTGTGCACCCTGAGTGCATTTGGAGGGGCGTATGTCAGACTAGCGCTACTCTGGTCGGGGCATCTTTCAGTTTAGTTTCAGATTTCAGGAATCCAATCTGTGCAACCTAACAGAGCTCCAGGACATGAACCAAAGGCCTGTGAGTGAGAATAACCAAAAGATTCCCTTTGAAAGCTCACTTCTGGTCTGAACTAGATGCCAAGATAGGTGGATCCATGCACCTAAAGAAATGCATTGCCCTGAGCATGGTTTTGGTCCCTTGTATTTAGTCCTCCCAATGCACCCCTGTCTGCCAGACACCTCCCTGTCTGAGCACAGGGAAGTGTGAGAAAAGGACAAGCTCAACAGCCACAAATTGCTGTTGCTAAGGTGACAAGAGGGGCTTCTGGCTACCAGGTTTGTTTACTAGATACTCTGATATGGTGATTGTCCTTTATTAAGTGAAACAGTAAATACCATACTTTACTGTTCAGTTTCTCTTAAAAAAAAAAGGATTCTGTAAAGATTAACTTCACAGTGGAAAGTTTTCCTCTGAGCAAGACCTTTCCCTTTGGAAAGGAGCAAGGGTTAGCTGTAACATAAAATATGACAAATTGTTCAGAAGTAAATGTTCCCAAGACTGATATAATCACCTGTCTTCATACCTTTATTTTCTTTCACAGAGCCATGTTTGACTATGACAAGAGCAAAGACAGTGGTCTCCCAAGCCAAGGACTCAGTTTCAAGTATGGAGACATCCTTCACGTCATCAACGCCTCGGACGATGAATGGTGGCAGGCGAGGAGGGTCACTCTGGAGGGAGACAGTGAGGAGATGGGAGTTATACCCAGCAAGAGGAGGTGAGTGCTGCTTCCTCCTTCCTACCTCCTTGGCCATGGTGTTAAAATATTCCATTTTATTCCAAAGACAGGGTGCATCAATCTGCTGAAAAAATGGGGGAAGTAGAGGAAAATCCCACAGTTATTATTTCAAGAGTTGGAAGATATGATTTTTGCTGGGACATTTAAAGAGCTCAGGCTGTTTAACTGCACTGAAAAGAAACTCAAAAGGTGACTCAATTACAGTGGATTAGTAACTTCACAAAGAAAGGGGGAAGGGGGAGAGAGCACCATCTACTAAAGAGCTTCAGCAGAAAAAGGAATAACCAGAAACCAAGTCTGGGAATTAGGTCTGAATTTGAAGTAGAGCACATGTTTTAATGTCAGGGTGATTAGCCATTGCATCAAACTGCTGAGGGATGTAATGAATGTCTTGACATTTTCAAATCAAGACTGTATGTCTTTCTTTTGAGAGAGTAATAGAATTAAACTTTTCAGCCTGTGTGATGTAAAAAATTACACTAAATTATATAATGGTCCTCTTTGGCTTCAAAATCTGTTAATTTAATCTCTGCCTGCCTGGAAACTGATGGATAATCAATATCACAGTAAATTTTTCATATAATGTAAATGAAGGAACTTTCATCCACTCTCCAAGCAAATCTGAGTCTTTGTTTAGCTGTGATGGATCCATGCTGACTGACAGAGAGAGAACAGACATCTGAATCTCTCTCATTGTTTGTATTGTTTACTCTGTCTAGGTACTTTTGTAAAATTGGCCACAAGTCTCTGATAGTATCAGAACTACCACACAAATCAGTACTATTTTCTGCCTCTGTTGATAGTTGCTATAGAAAGGTCAAGAACTGAAAGGGTGGGAGGAAAATTAAATCTGTCAAACCACATTACATTTCTCTCTTGCAGCAATGCTCCCATACTGCATATAAACTTTCTATTCCTAGCTATTTCAGCTTTAGCATTAATATAAAAATGATCATGCCCATTTTTTATAGTGGGGAAATGGGACGTTTGATGCTCTATAGAGCACCTGCTGCTGTTTCAAGAGAGTTGGCCCAGGTGCTAATAGAGCTCATGGTACTCCTTGTTCTAAATCACGTAAAAGTAAACTGAAAGGCCATCAAATACCTTGTTGACACGAGCCCTGCAGGGACCTTATTTTCTCTAATCATGACCATGTTTGAATAGCAACCACACCAGGATTTTCAGAGAAAAACAATTTTGGAGCTGTATGATAGATAGAAAGAAAAACTACATTATACTTTTTAAGATGGGAAAAATGTGCTCATTAAACAGATTTAGTCTCTAGATATTGAAAAAGGAATACTTGCCTACTATTAATTGCTACAGTAAATACTGTTGTAGTGACGTGATTGGATCACACATGGGAAAAGAGGAAAGTCTATTCAGTTCTGTCTGAGGGAAGTATGTGCACAAAGCTCACTCGCAGTGTGGTGCGTACTATGAAAAGCTACAAAAAGCTGTCATACATACAAACAACTACAGGGGACAAAAGGGCAAAGCAAAGCACCTGATTAAGATGTGAAGTTGTATCTTCTGTAAGGTGGAGAGGATGTAAGTGCCTAAAGCTTATTGGGTTACCTGCACAGTGATGTTTTCAAGGACAAAAGATAGAGGCTCTCTAGTCAAGGTCAGACATATGATACTGCCTAGTAGAAGATGTGGCTTAGGAAACATTGGGAGAGTCTCTAGATATTGAAAAAGGAATACTTGCCTACTATTAATTGCTACAGTAAATACTGTTGTAGTGACGTGATTGGATCACACATGGGAAAAGAGGAAAGTCTATTCAGTTCTGTCTGAGGGAAGTATGTGCACAAAGCTCACGCGCAGTGTGGTGCGTACTATGAAAAGCTACAAAAAGCTGTCATACATACTAACAACTACAGGACAAAAGGGGGCAAAGCAAAGCACCTGATTAAGATGTGGAGTTGTATCTTCTGTAAGGTGGAGAGGATGTAAGTGCCTAAAGCTTATTGGGTTACCTGCACAGTGATGTTTTCAAGGACAAAAGATAGAGGCTCTCTAGTCAAGGTCAGACATATGATACTGCCTAGTAGAAGATGTGGCTTAGGAAACATTGGGAGAAAACAGAAAAAAAAGAAAAAAAAAAAGAAAAAAAGAGGCAAGATAAAAATAGGTTGGTTAGAGTCTAAAAATAAGAGTCTTGAATTTGAAAAGATGCAGGTGTGGTTACCGTGCTCTCCACTTGTCATCCTGATTTTTCACTAGTGAATCTGAGAGGTCTGGAAAAATCAATGGCATCTGATTTTCTATCTGCATTAATGTAATGATGCAATACACCTGAGCTGGGGGGGGGGGAGGTCGCTATTATTTCATAAAAGGTTTCAGTTGTACAAGGTTATTTTTTCCAATGCACTAAAAAGTGAGTATTATTTCCTTTCTGTGGGTTCTGTATGATCCCTCAGAGCCAGTGAGACTGATGTGCTCTTGCCAGCATCTTCTATGGTCATTTACACCACCCAAGGGGAGGATGAGCAATCAGTGCATACAGGGCTGAGCTACAGAGAATACAGTTCATCATACTTGCCCGAACGTACTAATTCAGAGTTGAATTTCCTCTGCAGGTGTGGATTATTGACTATGAGAGGCTTGATCTAAAACAGAGTAGTCCTGGGATACATTTGACCAAATGTAGGCAGCTACAGCATGGAAATCTTCATCCAGGACGCTATATCTCTTATAGTTTATATGGGACTATTTCTATATATATTTTTGCACCTTGGGTCAGGGAGAGGCTATACAGATCCAGAGATTATTAGTGCCAGGGTGAGTCTCTTAGCTATCTGCTTTACTGCTTTATCTCCTGTCCAGCAACAGCTAATATACGTTTCCTGCATTTTTCATAAGTGAAATCATTATGGAATAGCTCTGAAAGCCAGCAACCACTTCAATTTTATTTTGGTGTGTGTATATATATGTATACAAATATATGTATATATACACACAAAGCCATAACAAGTACATTATATTACTCCTTTAAGGTGCTGTGTAACGGTAATTGCTTTCCAAGTACTTGGTTTTGCATTTTTTTTTACATCTTTTTACAGGAGAGCCCTTCACACAGTGACATTTTAGCATGAGCTGATAAGAGAAATTTTGAATGATAAATCAAGACTTCATACTCTTTTTCTCCTCTACGATATATGTGATATACCAGAAGAAATCATAATTTATAGTTATAGGGGAGCTGCCACTCATTATTCTCTCCAGGATGTTGGATACATTACCAGACTTTACCTTGTAGTGATTCAGTAGAGTTTGAAAGCTATTTGTCATTAGATTTCGGTGCTGCTGCCAATGTGTGGACTTGTTGCCTTGTTGATTGTTAAATTGTAAAGTCAGGCTTTAACAGGGAGTTTTGGAGGGTAGCACTGCAGCTAGAGGAGGATTACTGAGAGAGGCAGCACAAAGAAATGAGGGTGGCCCTGCGTTTCTCCACTGATCTGTGCAAGGACCAAATCTCATGAACCAGTGAGCCAGTGACCTCAGTGGGGATTAACGAAAACTAAATGCTCAGTATCCTGCAGTGCTAACATATATCATTGCAACCCTTTCTACATCTGAAAACAACATTTTGTCCATTTGCCAGTATCTATTTATTGTCTGATTACAGCTGTTTTCTCGACCGTGGGACTGAGTAGCCAGTTGGGTAGAAACAAAATATGATGCTATAAAGGTGTTGTGATATTGTATCATATTGATGTTGGGAACAGTAGGACTTTGGCATAAGAGGCTGCAAACCACTTCAGCTGTGGTTTAACAGTTACCAAATAGTTGTTATTATATAATATTAATGAATGAATATTGCAGGCCAAATTTCTCTTGGTTGCACACCCACCAAAAAGAATTATCCAAGCTATGTCTAAAGTGAGAGCAGGGCACAGTTATTATGCTGGGCAGGGTCTTCAAGGTGAGGGGACATTACCAGTCCTGTGCCAATGTCTCAGGCAGCCTGTGGTATTATCTGTGCGCTATGTTTACGCATGTGAATTGCTCCCCTATCATCAAAAATTACTATTTTATACTAGAATGACCAACAGAATTAGATTTACACTAGGTCTTTGTTACATTTAGATGTCTAGATGTATAGATTTAGATTAGAATTTCTACATATGCTTGGCTTTTGATCACAAGAATTTTTATTTGCCTCATTGTCCTTCCTATTGTCCGGATAAACAAAACAAATTCAGCTTCCCGTAAAGGGCAATAGCAAGCTGAGCAGCCTGTGTCTAAGGTTCCCTTCCCATGGAAACATTCACATTAGTTAAAACGAAACTACAAAAAGCGTGAAACCAATGTGCATAAGTTAAGGTGTATCAAATTCCTAGACAGATGCTCTAATTCAGTAGTAAAGAGATTTTCATTTGCTGTAGCATTGATTTTACAACTCCAGTTCTTTTCACTTTTTCTTTGCTGAGTCTCTGCACACAGAAAAGCTCCTACATTGCAAGCCCCACACCACAGCAACCTCCCACTTCATGAATGTCAAGCTTCAGTATTTGCTATGACGTGTGTATATCTGCTTGACTTGGGTCTGTAGGTCGGAAAGTAATTTAGTCTGCGATTTCACACAGATTGCCCCAGAATGGCCAAGTGTAAATTCGCACCACTTTTACTGCTGCTCCCACTGTAGCCAACGAGGATTTGGTCCTAAAACACTAAAATATTTACACTAATCTTTCTGTTGTCTTTAAGATGTGCAGCCACAAAACTGCTCTCAGACTGGACATCACTCTAAGATATCCATTTTCGGGTAGTTTAAGGACATCTGACTGCAAAATGTTATGCAACTTGTATCTCTGTTATTACCAGCTGAAGGTGTATGATGGTACCAGCCTGATATTTGTGTCCTCAAATAGACAACATTCTCCCCACAAATACATGTAGCCATGCTCTCCTTGCAGAGCAAAATGGGGGGAAAAGTACATGAAAAACCAATGTTTCACAAACATTTAAAG